GAGCAGGGAGCCCGATGCGGGGCTCGATCCCAGGACCCTGGGATCATGACCTGAGCCAAAGGCAGACGCTTAACGACTGAGCCACCCAGGCGTCCCCAGAATCTAAACTTCTTAATCTCAAATAGGCCTTTGAATGCCAATCTCTAAAATTTCTGTTCTCCTTTGCTTTATGCCATAATGAATTATTTTCTTTGTTTGAAACTGCGTGGTCTCATAGTTTGTTGGAACACCACGTCAAAATAATCAGAATTTCAACATTTCAAGATTTTTTTTCTAATCAGGAAGTGCGGATTAGCAGAACTTCTCTGCTTTGTCTTTACTGTCTCTTACAGTAAAGCTCTTCTGTGGTCTTGATATTTCAAAGTAAAACCTTCCTGGACCCAGTAGATAAGAAACTTTTGGTGCCTGTTTCTAACTGTCCATGAGTGAAGGCCATTACAAAAAGTAAATAACAATGGAAACTGAATAGTTGCTGGTAGAATTTTTGTTCTTGTTTTTTACTTTTACATTTTATTTCTCCACAGCTATTTTATGGGGTTCAATTACAGTGGGTAATGAGTATGATCCATTGAAGAGAACTACCAAGTTTCACTTAACTTCATAACAATACTTTTGGATGTCATATTTATTTGAAAGTAGAATGAGGTAAAATGTTTATTAAATTTTACTTTAGTCAAAGTCCCCCCCCAACACACACACATATATGCACGCACACACAAAACACACTCTATATGTAGGTTTGCAGGACTGCCCAGAAATCTAAAATCCTTCTATTGTTTTTCTTCCCTGGAAAGAAAAATTGGCTGGTGATATGATACTTGCAGTGTAAGTCATTACAGGTCTGATGCTACAGTTGTTACACATTATTGAATCTATCGAATGAAAAGGGAGCACAAAGGGAATTTCCAAAGGCAGCTGCTATTTCCCATTTGTTAAATCCTTTTATTATACCATATAAGTACACAGCTGGGAAATACTATAGAGTGGGAGTTAAAACAAAATATTTTGGCTTCCAGACATTCAAAATACACAAAGGCTCCAGTGGAAAGCAGTGCTTGATATCAAAAGAGAGTGAAAGTTTGAAAACATTTCCAGCAAATATGATTTCTTTTATACTAATATATAACATATTTGTAAATTTAAACTATTTTATTCTTCCATAAATCCCTCTTAATATAAGTTTGGTAAGCAAATTATTAATATCTATTTTCTGACAAAATTTTAGAACATAAAACTTTGAGAATGACTCACTGAAGCAAATTGGCACTTGCCAAAATCCAAACAAATTTTACTAAGGAAAATAAGTAACATGTTCTCTAAAGAAGTAAAATTTGAAGGGTATTATTTATGCCTCAACCTATATTTTCAGCTTCATTATTTTTATTTGTCCATGACTATATTTGGTATAAGTGGCAAAACAGATCTTGAACCCATCCCTTCTCTCTATCCCATCTACCTCTACACTAACCCAAACCACTACCATCTCTTACTTGGATTTCTTTTTTATTTTTTTAAAGATTTATTTATTTATTTGAGAGAGACTGTGTGAGAAAGAGAGAGAGAGCATGTATGAGTAGGGGGAGAGGGAGAAGAAGAATCTCAAGCAAACCCTCTGCTGAGCACAGAGCCTGACAGGGGAATCGATCCCACAACCCATGAGATCCTGACCTGAGCCAAAACCAAGAGATGGATACCCAACTGACCTACCCAACAGGCGCCCCTTACCTGGGTTTCTGAAGTAGGCTCCCAACAGGTCTTGCTCCTTTCACTCTTGTCTCCCTCCCATCTATTCATACTATAGCCAGAGTGATCTATCTGCAATGTTCTAAAACCCTTCAATGGTTTTTCATTACACTTAGAATCAAACCTCACTTCCATAACGTAATATATGGTCTTGTTGGATACAGTCCCTACCTTTCTCTCCAACCAGATCTGATGCTATACTGCATCCTCACTTGTTACACTCCAGCCACAAAAACTATCTTTTTTTTTTTTTTAACATTTATTTATTTCAGAGAGAGCAAGGGGAGGGGCAGAGGGAGAGGAAGAGAGAGAATCCCAAGCAGGCTCCCCATTGAGCCTGAAGCCTGACACGGGTCTCCATTTCACGGCCCCAAGATCATGACCTGAGCTGAAACCAAGAGTCAGATGCTTAACGAACTGGCACCCCAAAGACTATCTTTCATTTCCTGATACTCGGCTATATTTTTCTCACCTCAAATATTTCATACATGCTGTTCCCTCTGCTACTTTTACTTTCTTCTCTTCTTTGCCTGGCTTGTTCCTATCATCCTTAGGTCAGAGAAGGCATTCCTATCCATCTGTTCTAAGTTAGGTTTATCCCATTATTTCTCACATAGCATTCTGTTCTTTTTCTTCCTAACACATATCACAATTTTAATTATATATTTATGTATGTGTATTTATTTAATTTCTGTCTCCTCTCCTAGATATAAGTTCCAGGAAAGCATAATCTTGCATGTTTTTTCACCACAATACAGCCAGCACCTAGTAGCATACTGAGCCCAGAGAAGGTGCTCTATAAACATTTGATGAAATAAAAATAAAACATGGGCTTACTATCTTCTCAAAATGCCAGTGGCCGTGACTGGGTATCTATTTCACCCTTGCTATCTTGGAGGTCCAAAAATGATTCAGTTCAATCAGAAAAACAGACTTTTAGTCTTGCCTTTTTATACTGTCCTCTCCCCTCCATCCAAGGAAAATAAGTCTTCCAATGGATCTAACTGTATAATGACAATGCCCCATGAACCTAAAGTTAGTCTAGAAAAGTCTTATTTTTCTTCCTTTCCCCTACTTCTCACCTACTGCTGCAGAGTGTTAGTTGTGTCTGCAAAATCAGCTGAAAAGGAAAAATGTCTGCCTCCATAATTTATAGAATCAAGTCTTTGACATTAAACATTAAGCACAGAGCAAGATTTATCAGCAGTAAAGGCGTTTTTAAATATGACCTTATTTTTATTAAAGAATAAAACTTTTCCTCACAGCCCACTTAAAATGTCTTTCATTAACATAACCAAAAGTTAAGAAACGTAAAACAGGTTGTCAATTCCTAATCTAATAAAATACGTCAAGGTTTTGGTCAGTTCTAGATGCGAAACAATTGGATATTTTTGCTTTAAATTGACAATGCCACTTACTGTGGCTTCTGTTTTGATGGTTAGAGACAGAATTTTGCATGGGAAAGCTGCCTAAGATCCTGCATGTATCTGATGTCTCTACCTTCAGGGAAAACTCCCGCAGTCTGATTGAATGATACTCAGGAGCTTTGCACGTCCTTTTGAAATTAATATATAGGCACGTAAGTGAGAAAAGCTTTATTATAAATCAAAAATGACCATTAAAAATGATAAATACCTGCATTTCCCCACTGAAGATGTATTCACCATATGACCTCATTCACATAGACATGTTTGCTTAATATATATTTCAATGTTAATACACAGCCACGCTTTATTTGATCATACTTATTTTGTGTCATTATCAAGTTCACCACCCTATTGAGAGATTCAGAGAATAAGATAACCAAACCTCTCCCCGAATTAAATTAAATATCTTTTGGCAAGTTGACCTAATAATGGACAAAAATTAAATCACAAACCATTTTCCAATTTTTCCCAGGTACTAGCATATTAATAACATTAATAATATATACGTGGTGCTTGTTTCACGACCTAAACACAAATAACTCTAAGATATGTATTTTGAGCTTTTTCTAAAACACCTATTTGTGATGAGGCCACACTAACGGACACACTTAGCGACAGCGGCCAGATTTTAAAAGCTCACCATTCTTTGCTGAGACGACAGAACGCTGTCCCAGTCAGCATCTTGTTGAATGGTATTGACAAGTGTTGGTAGCTCCTCAGAGTGAGGTTTGTTGTGCATTATGGGGTGCAGAGGCAGATGGGAGGCCACATGTTGATCACCGCCCTCTTCCTTTTCCCTTGAGGTCAAATCTTGGGTCATCGCTTCCTCTCCATCAGCTGCACAGGCAAATGGAGAGGTGGCTTGCTTGGAAGACATTCTTCTGCAGAAGAGGGAAAGAACATGGATTCAAAAAGGCTGTCAATGACAGAAGAAGAAACTATCCCTTACATTTGACTAATTCAGAAAAAAAAAAAGTACGTTCTCTAACTTCAGGTTGTTTATGAGCTACTCTAAACCACTTTGAAAAAGAACTTAGCTTATCTGTTCTACTCTCCCTCTCTGCTTTCAACTCCACAAACCTCTTCCTAGTAATTGCTACACATCTTCCTCCTTAACAATCCACAAAGGACATTTCCGAGGAATAAGTTTTCATAACATATAGTATACGGATGTGTGTATTTTTCCTCCCAGTTTTTCCAACTAGATTATCAAATTAGGTTGATGGCTAACAATGGGAAAAAAATAAATAAATAAGTGAATGAACTGACAAATAAGCCAGTTTGGAGGATGATTTTAAAGTAGAAATATCCAAATTTCTCTCATGCTTTATGTGGGAACAAAAGAAGTCTATGTGAGAAAATACAATCAGGAGAGTACATAATACATGTTGAAAGTCCTAACCAAATTTGGTCTTGACTTCTTAGTTTATACCTTGTATTATGAGTGCCAGGGCCTAACATTGTTTAGTGTCAATCTGATCTTTTTTTTAAAGATTTTCAAAATGTGTCAACTACTGCAACTTAACTTTTAAGTGACATATTGATCAAGTGGCTGATAATGTTAGATTAGTCTTAGGGCAATTTTGTAACATTTGAATTAAATATATGAAATAACTATGCCTCTATTTTATATTAGAAAGTACATACAAAATTCAAAGCATTTACTGTGAAAATAGTAAAATGCCTGCTATACACCATATTTTTAAAACTGCAAAAACAATTACCAAACACTCATCTATGTACCCACAAGTAAACATCGACTGCATTTTGCACAAGATCTCCATTCTGTGCTTTGTCAATATGATTTTCTTAACAAAATGTTTAGAAATAAAAACACCAGAGGTTTATAACTTAAAAGAAAAGACAGTTGAGTATTTTTTCTAAAACTTTGTTGTTTTCAGTTTATAGCATCTTTAGCTCTAAAATTGCTGTGTAACGAAGGAATAAAATCTCCACCTTAATTGCTCTTTAACATTAATTGATTTCATACCATTTTTTTAAAAATGCACAAATCAGTTAACATAGGAAACCACATGAGCATTTTTCAAATTAGCAAATCATTAACTTGCTAGTACTGTTTCTACAGACAAATAAATACTGATTAAAGGGTCTAGAAATCTGAGATTAACAGTTAAATTTACAAATCTGTCACATGCTTTCATGAATATTGCAGTGAAGGAAATATCAAGTGCAAAGAAAAATAATTAAGTTAATTCCAATTTAAACAGTAGTTTTTATGTAGCAGCCCATGTTTCACATAGGATTTAACAGCTAATGCTAAATTTCTCACAATTAATGAGGGGGCTCAGATTTAGTATCCTACAGTGAAAAAAATTAATATAAGATCAGCTAATCTAATTATGCACAGTTCTAAATAAAAGTATTACAGGCTTTTGAAGTGCTTTGAAACATATTAAAATGCTGATACCTACTTATAATAATCATTCTACAAATAATAAAATTTCATCTGTTAGACTTGATACTAGAAAATAAAATGGGGGAAAGGAAGTACAGAAGAATGTCTATATTTTCTTTGAGAAGAAAGAAATAAATGTTCTAAAGAGTACTATATCAAAGAATCAGATAAGTATATTCTTGTCTAATTTCTATCAAAACTAGCACATGGAGAAATGCATATACACATATGGAAAGTGATACCAAAGGATGTTTTTCACTGTACAGGGATCACTGCAAATATTACAGTAAAGCCAGACAAATTATAACTGGTCTGCAAATTTATCCAGAGTTTACCATAAACAACAGGAGTGTTTTCATAGTTCAGATAATGATAGTACCAATAATGTAATCATTCACATTAAAAACAAAAGAATGAATTTACTGCTGCCTTTTAAAACAGTTAAATACAATTGAAAGTCATAAGCCAAAACTCAGTGTGACTTTAGCTCCCCAACAAACATCCTCTATTATAAAGTGACTTGGCTCCTTCCAATAGCAGTATCTGTGATTGTTGCTTTAGTATAAATTAATCATGACACAAAACCCAAAATGAAAAGTCTCTTAAGAATAATTTCAAGTATAAACTGCACCAATGAACAATAGTGCACAATCCTAATTAAACACAACCATGCAGCTGTAAAAATAGACTAAATCTGTCCAAAGCTGGGTTGAGTTTAAAGGCTGGTTTGTTAGAATGTTTTCTTAAGGAAGGCTGGGCCCTCAGTCTTAATCAGCCAATAAATTATTTCCTGCAATTACATTAAATAGAAAATTATCTTCAAATGGGGAGTGTTAATTGAAAATCAAAATTCAGAGGGAAGTTTAGAAATTACACGCTGAATACAATTAGTGAGGAAAGGCTTCACCTCTACTTCATCAACAGTCTTCTGGTGATTCCTCCAGTGACCATTCAGGAAAGCTACCTATTTACAACATCACACAATTTGTCTTTTATTTTGCACCTACAAATACAAATGTCTATCAAGGTTGCAAATAAAAGATAGGCTGCCAAAAAAAAAAAAGCAATATTAAATTTGACTGTTCATCCTCAGTTCACACCATCGTTCGGGGACAAGGAGAGGGGGAATGTTAGGGCAATAACGGTTAACAACCAAGGAAGGCATACTCAACTTCAAAATCCTTCCCTTTACCTAAGGAACTAACATTTTTGTTCCAAGGAGCATACTTTACTGTATCATATTTTATTTAATTTCTTGAGTTTACTCTACCACAGTTCTCAACGCGTTGCTAGCAGAGAAAAAGGTGATTTTGCGGTATTGTTCCCCTGCAGGCATTTCCTTTTGATAAAATTGTTGGCTTCTTTCAGATTGGTTTTTAATTGTTGTAGTTTGGTAGTTTTGTTGTATTTTTAAAAGGAAAATGTGTACACATACTTTTTAAAGCAAAGTTTATTAAGTAAGTCTTAAATTTCCTGATTATTAGATTCAATTTACTAATTACTTTTTACACAATTACTTTATTAAAGAATCCTTCAACTTACTGATTACATCCTCATTCATTTCTTTACTTTAGCTTTCCTTTTTTAAAACATTTTACTAGACCAACTAAACTATTTTGGAAGCTGCAAAGATACTTGACTTTTGGTAATGCCTTCATTATAACCACTGCACCATGGCTACTCTCCTTTAGAAATTCATAAATCAAATATGCACTTGGTGTTAATGTTTTAAAATGTCACCTGGGATGCTCACTTTTATTTTTAATGCTCATTTAGTAATTTTTCATTACAAAAATTTTTACACCCCCCGCCCCGTGTATTAGAACTGTAGCTTACTTTAGCTGCTGTCACATAAAACTAGTAAGCAAAAGAATCAAAATCCTTGTGAAAATGGTCAATTCCTATGTGACTTTACTTTGTTTTATTTTTGCACTATTATAACTTAAAAATCATTCAAATGAATTGTTTTTTTTTAATTTGTATTAAAAAAAATCTCCCTAGTTATACCCCCTGAAAACAGGGGTTTATAATGGAAGTGCTGACACAACCCTAACTAAAGCAGCGCAAATGTTGCCGCTATAATACACAAAATCAAGTTCTATTATTCTAAACTATCCTCGCTCATGGGATTTTTCTTTACTGTGCTCCCAGCCAAACTGCTGAAGCATGAAAAATTTAAATGCAATCAAATGCGCCCAATTCTACTTTACTAGAACAAGTGTCTACAGTGGTACAATCTTAAAAGGAGATGCAACAGATTTGTTTGGTGTTTTTTTTAACTGTTTATTTATAATACAGTGCATTGGAGATAAAATAAAAGAGGAAATTACACTCACATGGTACTAGTGTATTGACTACACAGAGTACATTATAATCAGAGAGAAAAACTACATTGTCAACTTATCACATTGGTTAAACAAGATGGTTTTCTGGGGCATAGCTATTATCAAGTAAAACCTCCAAAGAGAATTACATATCTTTGGGACACATGAAACTAAATTCCCATCATGTGTTCCCCGAGTTTGAAATGTCTCTGCCCAGAAGATCAAGTGAATTCCCAGGATGCCAGGCCATTGGGAAGAACTTCAGGGCTTAGGACTTTTGGGAATGAGATTGTTGGAAATAAAGTCTCCAGTAATGGATAATGTTTTCTAGGAAGTCAGTAGGAGTATCTCTAGAAAGATGATAATTATTTTACTTCAATCCAAAACCCCAGTAAAAAATCTGAATGTTTAAGCCATCACAAATTTATTCAGACAGTAAATTTACTTTATGTTCTTTAACAAGAAATTAAGATAAGCTGGTCCAAGACTTTGTAAAATGGTAAGGATATGGATATCTATACATTAAGCCCTCTATCTCAGAAAATCAAATTCTCTAGAATTTTAAACCAGCCTGACCTGCTGTTGTTATTTTTAAGAAACAGTTATTTGTAAATGTTTAAAGGTTAGGATTATTTTAAAACAATTTTCTCCTAGGGCTTCACCACTTGAAATTACTTTTTTTTTTTTAACTATTGCCTGGGAAGAATCCATTTCAAAATGATTTTACATAGGTATCAAAAAGAGCCACTGAATTTATTGGAACAATATTTTTAACCTAATTTTTAAAAATGTTTTCCTTACTTCTAAGATAATTATCAAATGGCATTCACTTGTTAGGTGTATTACATTTATTCAAAAGAGGCTCAGTTTTTAACATAAGGCAACATTTTAATAGTTGGTTTACTTAAAGAAAAAATTAAACATTCAGGCCAATATTCACATGTGTTTTTGCAACTCAGCCCCAGGCTACCCAGGTAGACTTACTTCTGTCAGATAATTCACTGTTAATTTAATGCTGCAATTGATCTGATACTAAGAAATAAACAACTAATTTTCCAAAAATATAACACAGTGCCTCTCATTTTGAGCATGAGTAACAGATATGTTCGTTGCCAAAATGCACAATACTTAGGAACCCCTA